CGAACAGAACCAGCACTGAAGTGGACACCAAACAGGCGATGTCCTTCGGCTGTCACCCTGGGCCTGGGCCAGCAAAGGAGACGTCTGCAGAGGATGTCCCACCCCTTGCCCGGTGCGATTTTACATTATTGCATTTTTGTCTCAGCCTTTGTCCGGCAGTTTGGGGTCATTTGCCCGACTTATCGGTGCCTCCATGTTATTCGTGCACTGGCTTCTGTAGCAGGCTAGGCTGAGAGGTTGTGACTGGCCCTGAGTCATGTGGGGGGTTTCACTGGCTTAGTGGAAGATGAACTGAATCTGGGCCAGGCTTCCCCAGTCTAGGGCCCTCAAGATGTTTTAGATTAGAATATCCATCAATCTTGACCAGTGGCCGCGCTGGATGGGCCTGAGTTGTTGGCCAAAACTTGTGGCGGGTACCTGGCAGGGTACAGCTGATCTTACCTAGCTATTTTTTTAAATAAATCACATTGGTCCCTAAGTTGAGAACTTCATCTTTTGCCACCACTGTCAGCTTCAGTTCCTCGGATTCTGTTCCTGAAATTATCAGGAAGCCAAACATAAGGTTGACTTCCATCAAGAATCCCTCTGTCTTAATGGATCTGTCAGAACTGGGTCCCAGGTCACCTCGGCACAGCTGCCGTGGGAGCTCCCCCCCTCACTTCTCTTGAGCAGCGGCAGGCGGTGGCGAGGAAACTGCCTGTCAGAACTGTGCTCCGGAGTGTTCCCAGCATGCAGGCACCCTGGAGCTATAATGCGGGGACAGCATGGCTCGATTTGCATGGAAGGAAGGAAGGAAGGAAGGAAGGAAGGAAGGAAGGAAGGAAGGAAGGAAGGGAAGAAGGAAGGAAGGAACAGGCCACGGTTGGCAACTGCGAGTGGTGTGTGAAGAATGCTGCCTGCTCTCAGTGTGCACCTGGGGTTATGGGTTGCTGAGGACGGGACACTGGAAGTGCCTTGCGCTGCCAGCCCCTTGGGCCATCTTGCCCAGTATTATGCACACGGGCCGGCAGCAGCGCCAGGCTCTCAGGCAGGATGCTTTTCCTACTCAGCCTGGAAAAGCTGACCACCTGCATGCAAAGCAGGCGTCCTGCGATGGACCCACAGCCCCTCCCTCTGGCTCTGGAGTTATAGTTCAGGAACAAACCGTGGGCTCAAACTCTGGTTTGCTGAGTGAGAAGCAACCAGAGCTCTGGGCTCGTGTGTCACTCAGAGCAGCCTTTGCTGTTCCGCCCAGCAGAAGGGGACGAGCAAGCGGCCTCCTGCCAACCGCTCCCAAGCAGCCTGTGCTTCACAAACTTCAGGCCGCTTGCCATCTATAAACCAGGCCGGCGTGTGGTTCCCATGTTCCTGTTCCCGGGCTGAGTCCCTGACACTCCCGGGGGGGGGGGGGGGTGGCCTGGATGGCCCCACAGGGGCCACTGTTCACCATGCAGAGCAGCTTCAGCAGTTTGTCCTTGTTCAGGTTCTGCTCCTGGCCCCTCTGGTACCCTGAGCCAGCATTAAATCCCCGTCAAAGGGCTCCCACCCCACACGGGGTAGTGCGGGAATGCCGATGTTCTGGGATGCAGGGCCCAGCTCTCTGGGACTAATGTGTTTGTTCTGGGGGCTGGAAGACGGTGCGCGGAGGCCACTGCCCCCAGCTCCCTGCTGCAGGATTCGGGGGGGGGGTGCAATTCTTTATTTTCTTTATTTAAAGATTTTATATGCCGTCCAATACTAAACTCTCTGGACAGCTTACACTTTGGCACAAGTTGCCAGCAAAACTGCTGTGCCAGTCTGCTACTCAGGCCACATGCGATGCAAGTGGAGCTGCTTGAGACAGACAGACGGACGGATGGACGGACGGACACCCTGGCAGGATCATCATGTACACACACCCTCACATGATGCTCAGCTGCACGAAACACCCAGTTAATGAGAACCCAATCGTTTACCCACCCGCTGTGCCCACACACAGCTGGCAGGGCTGCTTGGGTCATAAACACTGTGAGGCAAACTGGATGCGAATCCCGGAAGCTCAGAGCTCCGGGCAATGCCCTTGTGCCCCTTGCAGCCACGGGCCGATCCCTGTGCAGGGCTCACAAGTGGCCCTGCCTGAGAGTCTGAGCCCACTGTCCGGATGCCGCCTTGCCCGCCAACTCGCTTGCGACCTTGGCAAGTGGGTGCCGCTGTCGCAGTGCAGCCCCTCCAGCTCCACGGGGGAGACTCAGGCCTGATGCCAGGCTCTGGTGGGGGCCAGGAGGGTGCTCCTGTTGCTGGGAAAGGTGTGCCAATGGCGCTCCTTCCCGGAAGGCCACCATGCGCGCACACAACCGGGTGACAGCGGTCGCCTAAGAGCAGCCCTGCAGCTTTAGCCCGGGCCGCCTCTCATCCAATGTTCTGCATACGCAGTGGTGAACCAGGTGCCCGTGGGAGACCCAGTGCAACCCATGTGCATCAGCCGCTGCCTCGGATACTGGGCTAGCAGCCCAGTGGCACCCTTCTCCTGCAAGCGTTTGATCTGCCCTCCTTGACAGCTGTCCCATTTGGTGGCTGTCAGGACATCTCCGAGTCTCTCCCAAGTGAAGGCTTGGCTCAGCACACTGTGCTAGAGTAAAGGAAACATGCACGAAGCTGCATAGAATGGAACAGGAACCCGAGGGTACAAAGCCAGCGTGACTTCTTGCTACCTCATAGCCAGGCGGGAACCTGCCGTACCTCCGTGACCCCAGAGCAGTTCCTTGGCCCGGCACCTGGGCTGATGCAGCTGTTTCCTGTCCTGTCCTTTCCGTACCCCCCATAGCTGAAGCTCTCTGGTGGTTTACAACAAAATGAAACAATAAAGAATAACTATTAGAATGCCAACAGTTTTTTGCCGTTACTTCACACACAGAGAGGAAATTATATCTGTGGATTTACAGAACACACCAGGAGGCTGCCATTAGATCAGATTTTGACTCCAGTGTGGTTATAAAATAAATGTCTAGTCTACAGAGCTGTACTCAGGGTTAATGGAGAGCACAGAATGCCTTCGCTGCTGTTTGAAGTGAAGTGAAATCTGAAGTATGGTTAGGATTCGAAACAACAACAATGCAATTACTGCGTTTAGCCGTGAGTTGTTCAAAACAGCCCCTAAAGCAGGCTGGCAGGCAGGCAGGCAGGATTTATATTGATAAGTTTGTTCCACTCTGTTTCAAAGACACTTGAAAATGCTTTTTAAAAACCTTACCACTTTTATACAAAATTTCAAAATGATGACATTTCAGCTGTGTTGGAAGAAAGACTGGTATTTCTTTTTAATGCTGAATTCCTAACTTTTTCAAATGTGAAAAGTCACACCAAGATAATTACGTATGTTTAGTTTATAAATCTTTGTCTTGCAATTGCAGAAGGCTTGGCATTTTCTCTGGAGCCAGTGTGCTTCACACATCAGAGTAGCTTGTCTGTTGTTCCCAGTTGTTGTCGTCATAGACGTACTCGCATCGGTCGGTGCAGAGCAGCCTCCCTGCTTCCAGGGCATCTCCGCGCAACGGGCCTTCTCTGTGGCATTTGGGTGGCACACCCGGCGTGTCCTCTAATGGGCAGAAACGCATCTGTGAGAGTAAGGCCGTTCATTACCTGGGCAGTAGGCAAATAGGCACACAGCCTCCCATAGATGAGCCGTGCCAAATGATGGGCAGTGAGTGCTCCTCGCCCTCATCTTGTTAGATTTGTCGGCATCCCATGACACCGACAGCAAGCAGAGGGGCCGGAACGGAGCGCGCTCGCCACTGCGGTCGTGCTGGGTCCTGTGCTGAGGCATGCCATCGAGCGCACCTCGTGCGGAGCCCGCGCGGGAGCTGCCCATTCGGAATGGCGGCGGCTTGCATCTTGTGCACGCTACAGCCTCGCTGTGGCTCGAGCAGCCCGTCGTGGCCCGTGCAGACCGGATCGCTCATCCGGACAAGCACAGGGCTCCCCAGCAGGCCTGCAGTTCCCGGGGACCCAGCCAGCAGAAGCGACAGTCCGGCAGAACCATCTCTCTGTTTCTGGACAGTCAGGTGGATGCTTGAGCTGCTGAGCCCTCAGAAGGAGTTCGGGCTGCATGGCAGCCCCAAGGGTTCTGTTTTCCTCCCGTAGGTGGTGCAGCCCATCCGCCCTCAGTCCTCAGATGGCTCCCAGAGGACGGGATGCCAGGGTTGCGTTTCTGCCCGGTGGGAACCTGGGCTTAAAGGATGTCCTGCCCAAGAGGCCAGAGGCTCCCAAAGTCTCACAGCAGTAGTCCAGGGGGGCATATTGCCCCTTGTTTTGACAGAGTCAGCTCAGATGCCTCTATGGCCTGTTTGATTCTTCATCATCAACCGTTTCCGTTTAATCTTGGAAGGGCTTCAGGTTGGCTAAGCAAGGAGATTTGCTGCCTAAAGATAAACTACCAGCCAAGCTGACTTTAGAAACCCCAGAAGGCAATGGAAAGATCTCTCTGTGTGTGCACACACACAAAATGGATTGGATGTGTTCTTGAAATATAAAGGGCAGCTTCGTTATTGCTGAGGTTTATATTTTGCTGCATGTTTTTCCCTGGCTGCTCCCTGGAGACTTGGTTTACTTTATCTGGAGAATCGCTGAAAAGATGCCAAGAGAGCTCTCCACAGGTTGTCACAACTGCTTTAAGCTTTCTTTTATTTTTTTATCTAGAGGCTTACTTGATAGTGACATGACAAGTTCCGTTCACCAAGGAAAGCGTGTGGGTGCACGCATGGCCTCACGCACAAGCGGCCCTCCCGGAAGCTCCTGGTCTCCTTGTCCCGGCAGGAAAGGCGCCCCCTCGCTTGGTGCAGGGCAGTGTGCCTGCTGAAGTAGCAGCATGGAGGTGAAGGGGGCACGCGGTGCCTTGGCCAGCTCAGCCCAGGCCAGGCGGCCGCTGTTGCGGGACTGGGGCCGACGAGGGCCTTTTGGCCACAGGTGCGCAAGGCTGGGCCAGCGCCGGCTGCCTTCCACCTCCACACCGTGACTTGTGTGCACTGCCCTTTTCTTCATTTAAGGGAGCTTCCAGCCCCTGGAGCTGCACAGGTAGACGTGGAAGTGGGGGAGAGTCGACTCTCCAGAGGCAGCCCTCCCTGGCCAAGGGATCTCCAGAAGTGTTGGACTGCAACTCCCATCATTCCCAGGTGCTGTAATAGGAGTTGGAGTCTGAGGGGCACCAAGTTGGGGAAGGTTGCACTGGAATGGTGCTTGGCCCTAAGATAACAGATTGGACGCTTTGAAGGGCCAACTAAATATGCCACTGAATGATCAGTCCAACAGAAGGAAGCTGCAGCACGTGACTTGGCCCGGCCAGCATACCCAGGCGCTGGAGGTGCTGGATGGCCTCCCAGTGGCGGGGGGCGGGAGGTGGCCAGAGAAACCAGCACGGTTCACTTGGTGGCTGAAGAAAGCATCTGAGCACTCGGCACACTCCTCCTGGCCACGTACGGGGCAAAAGATGGGAGCTGTGGGAGAGAAGGGTGGCCAAAACGGGCCAGAGCAAGGCAGGGCAGGAGAGCAGCCCAGGCAGGACTGGCCCCAGCCCCTCGACTGCAGCGCCAGGCTCCTGCCACTGCCAGCCCCTGCTGGGCCAGCGAAGGGATGTCTTGTTCTCCTGCCCCACTGCTGTTCCCCGGCGGCCTCGCTTGGCGCCACGTCCCCTCCGTTCCTCAAGGAGAGGCACGCTCGTGTGGGTCTCCCGGTCAGCTTCCTCGCCAGTCAGGTGCCTCACCTTGACCTTGGAACTTCCCTCCTGGTGTTCAGGATTGGCGGGGGGGGGGGGCCTTTTCCGCGGCTCGCTTGCATTAGCTCACCCTCCCTTCTCGGTCTCAACCCCTTTTGCTGCATTCCTGGGCACTCCCTCACAGCGCCACACGGCAGCAAATGGGTGTGAAGGGACCCTGGGGAGGGGGCGATCTGCGTGTGCCGCCGGCTGCAGGGAGAGTGTTCTGGCGGCCAGCACACGACCCAGAAAGGCTCCTCGGTGGCATCCGGCTGCACCACGGGAGGGGCAGTGAGCCAGCCCACGTCCCCCAGGGTGCTTGGTGTCGGGCTCAGCCAGGGGCCGGTGCTGCGCAAAGCCCATGTGCATGGCGTTGGGATAATCGTGACGATCAAGAGGGGCGCGGAGCGGGTCTCCCTGAGGGGCGGGGCCACCCCACCACCTTCGCCACCAGCACCACCCCAGCTGCCACAGGTGGCATTCCACTTGTACCCCCTCCTGTGGGAAGAGCTGAGCACAGCGCGTGCAGCTCTGTGGCAGCCATGCGACTGAGCCGTCCGGAGGGCCAGTAGCTTGCAGCTGGCCCGTGCACAATGCAGGGCCAAGCTGGGCTCGCGCACGGGAGCCCCCGCTCTGCAGGGCGGCCGCCGTGTGGTGGCAGGTCCTGCAAAGCCAGGCGAGCCCGAGCAGGGCAAGGGCAGCCCTGCTGAGGCGGCAGCAGGCCCCGAGGTACGTGGGCTTCCTGCACAGGGGCCGGAGGCGAGGGGAGAGGCCTGTGGCTGTGGGGCTCTCGCAGAAGCAGGGCGAGTCCACTGGCCTCTCCCTGCACATGAGCAACACAGAGCCTCCTGCTGCCGTGGAGAGCTCATACATTCGTTATGGAGGATACCTTCATGGACCAACCCCGCTTTGTCAAGTCCATGACATGTCCTCTGAGGGCACTGAATCATGAGATTAAATAAAAGAGCTGTGCCCCCCCCCCTTTTTTGCATTGGCTGTTATTGTGAACTTCAGCAAATCAACACAAAAACTAAAATGTCATGAAATAATAGAGAAACAGAGCAAGTCAGAAGGGGCCTCCCAGGCCATCTAGTCTGACCCAAGCTCTAGCTGGCTCTGCTCACGATGTATTACAATTTATAACATATTACAATTTTCTTGCATAATCTTCAAATATATCCATTGCAATAGGTACATCTACAATGTGTATTCTTATATATTTTATGCACAAGATATACTACTGTTCCTTCAACAAACAGGATAACAAACAAGATATGGATACTTCAGCAAAGACATACCAAGTATCCATACATTTGTCCATTTGTAGATGATGCCTAAAGTCCAGTTGTTCAAAAACTGAGAGCATCATTGACTCTGCTACCCACTGTGACTGTCCTTGCAATGCTGTAATGATCTTTTAGCTGTCCAGAAGCATTCAGTGTTGGGAGCAGGTTGCAAGTTGAAGAGAACAGGATCCTGAGTGAATGCTAAAGAGTTTTCCATTGCAAGGTTTATCTGTGTTATTACTGGGGAAGCTGTGGACTCTCCCTCACTAGAGACATTCAGAAAGTGTCTAGACAGTCATTTGAGTGCGGCAGTATAAACTGGTGTCCTGCGACAGCAGGGGATGGACCTGATGGCCTTCTTGGCCCTTCCCACTGTGCTTTTCTGTGATTGTAAGACTACCTCCTCCCAAAGAGAGGCAGCCATTGGGCACTGCCACAGGTAAGAGAAGCATTAGTGGTGTTACACCTCCCACAGTTGCCTGAGGTAGACAAACACTTATTAAAAACACCTCGTGGTGTCCAGTATATCCAAAGCATATGTTTTTGCCAAATAACCCAAGATATGTTAGCCCTTCTGTTAACCAATACTGAGAAATAGGACAATCCCATTTATTTTTCCCTGTGTGTCATATTTCTTCCATGATCATATTCATACTCCTGGTTGCTATACCTGCTCAGCCCTAATCCACACCCCGGTGTAAAAGGACAGTGTAAAAGCATCCAGAGCAAACCTGGATTCAAGCTGAGATTTCGGTTGTACATACTGCCCTTTGACTGTAGCTGGTGACCGTGTTTGGCACGCCAAGCAGAGAACAGTGGGAGCTTATCATCAGGATCCACTCGCTAATCCCAGGTCAAAACCAGCTTCTTCGTCCAAGTGCACCAAACAAGGAGAGCCCTGCTGGAGCAGCCCCCAGGCCTGCCTCGGCCGCATACGGGTCACACGCTGGCCAGCCTGATGCCCCAAAGGGACCCACATGCAGGACGGGAGTGCAGCGCCTTCCCCAGCAGCTGCTCTGCACAGCAGAACTGCCTCTGCTCCTGGAGGCAGCGTGCTGCCATCAGGACCACTGGCCATTTGACAGACTGACCCATTATGCCCTGGACTAATCCCACGCGAAAGCTACCCAAGTTGGTGGCCATCCCCACATCTTGTAAACGTGCATTGCACAGTTTGTGTATTGTTCCAAGAAGTCCTTCCTTTTATCTGCCCTGAACCTCCTGGGATTCACTTCCTGGAACAAATGGAAAAATGCCTCCCTGTACTCTTCCTGCACATCAGGCAGGATTCCACAAGCCTTAGCCATGTTTTCAGTGCCTGCAGCTGCTTTCTCGCTAAGCTGGACAATCCTCAGCTGGGGAGGTCCTCCCGCCCCCTGACCAGCTGCGCTGCCCCTTTCTCCCGAGGAGGCCCCTTTTGCTGTGCTGCCTGGCAATGCTGGGGCTTGATCCTGAAGCTTGTGCGTGCAAATGATCACCCCTCCCCTCACCGTGGCCATGAGGTTAAGCCCACCGTGTGAAATCCCGTGCAGCAGGTCTTGCCTGCGCTTGTTGCAGGGCCCGCTTGACATGATGCCTGGAGAGCCTGCTGGACACCCATGCCTGCTTCTTGTCTCCCTTTCTTTGATCCACAGGTAGAAACTGAGGACGAGAGGAGGCGCTTTGAGGAAGGCAAAGGCCGCTATCTCCAAACCAAAGCCAAGCGCCAGGCGCAAATGCAGGCGTTGACGCAGCAGTGACATTCCAGTGGCAGGCACTTCCAGGAGAGCGCACACCGGAGCATCAGGCAGAACCCCTTCTTCAGTGTGGGCGGCTTAGCGGACTGGTCGCTCGTGGGCACCTTGCCTCTGCCCCTTCCTCAGCAAGTACCCATGATGTCCGCAGTTCTGGCGAGCCAAGCCAGCTCATGGGGACACCACGGGGATGGCCAGGAGGGCGCAGAGGTGCGGGGTGGGCCAGGGAGAGTGGACACGGGGGGGCTGTCGCAGAGCCTGTGGCCGTTCGCGCTGGGTGTTGCCGGGCCCAGGAGACACCGGGGCGTGCCTGCCCAGCTGCGCAGCGCGGGATGCGCCGGTTCCTCCACAGGCACTTGAGCTCCCAGGATGCCCCCCACCCCCCCACCCAGGAGCACTAGCGTTCTCTGCAAAGAGAGGTGGAAGGGTTAGCACAGATCATCCTGGCCGGGGGTCTTGTGATGCCGCTCATTTCATGGCTGTTCGTGTTCACCCGTGATCACCCCGACGCCCTCTCTCTCGTGGCAATGGCAAGCTTACACGCAGCTCCATATTGAGTCAGATGGCCTCTCTGGTTCCATTCCACATCTCTTGAAAATACAATACAATATATATATATGTGTGTGTGTGTGTGTGTGTATGTATATGTATGCCTAATTTATGTCATGAATGTTGTGAATAAAAGGTGCATGCCTTTAACTACATGAGACTACCACGAGAGCTGGGTTTGCCAACAGCAACCATTCCTGGGGCCGAGAGCGCCTGCCCAGCAGCCTGGCCTTGTCCTGACCTTCGGCAGCCCTCGCAAGGGGCGAGGGGACACCAGCTGCTTGTGGCAGGCCAGGGTGTGTGTCCTTCTCTGGCTTCGCTCAACCACCACCTACTAAGCTGGGATTTGCACCTGAGCAGCTTAGCCAGGCAAATCCAAATATCACACAAAGAGCCCCTGTTCAAACAATGGTCTGCCACCTTTCCTGCAGGGATTAGTAGTCCAGGAAGGGCTCAAAAGAGCAAGTGTTGGTGCAGCCCAGGCAGGCTGGCTTGGCTGGGACAATGAGCGCACACAGCCAGCCACTGCTGGGGCACTAGCACTTCCTCCCTCAAAACCGCTGCACTCGTCTCACAGAAGATGCTGAGCAGAAGCCACTTCTCTGTGTTTTGCACAGGCCACAGATGCTCGGAGAGGAGTCACGAAAAAGCCAGCCAATGAGTCTTTATTGAGGCGGGATTAGAACCCAAGTCCTGCCCCAAACAAAGCTCTTTATGCCTTGGAGCACACAAGATTGCTTTTTTCACTGTCCAGCCAGGTTCCCACCCCAACCCCACCACAAGCATTTAGCTGTCCTAATCCCTAAATTTGGGGACTGTGCAAATTCATGGCAGCCAGTTCGACACCTGGTCCTTCACAGGCTACATGCTGCAGCTGAGTTCCCTGTACTGCCCCTAACAGCAATGGCAAAGGATCAGGAGCTGAGAGCAGGGCCATGAATACTCCATCCAGCAGGACAGGACACCATAACTAAAGAGGGGGAACTTGGAAAAGGCCTCCATGGTTTGGTGACTGGGCTGCTTCTTTAAGCCCCGGGTGGGCAACAGGCTTGGGACCAAATAAGACCTGTGGAGGATCCCAATCCAGAGGGCCCCATCCTGGCCTGCCCTCTTTCCCTCGGTGGCCAATCATTTGGCACTGTCCCAAATGGTGCTTTGTGCTACTTTCCCCCATCCAGGAAAGCTGGCATTTCCTAAGGCTAAGTGGCTGACAGGAAGAACTTTGAAAAAAGATGTGCTGGGATTGGGAAAAGGGTGCCAGTCCCCCCCACCCAGCCTCCAGCCCCACCCTCCTCTGGGATGTGGCCCCCAGAGGCTCTCCAAAACGAGACAGCTCCCTGCCCTCATCAGCCCACAAGAGCTGTGCAGAGCAGTCGGAAGAGCCCCGAGGCAGGATCAGACCTGCAGGGAGAAGCCCATCTGCGCTGTGGCCAGCCAACTGCCCCTGAGCCCAGGGCCCCCTCCCCAAGTTCCCCTGCAGCTGGTGTGCAGGGGCACGTGGCCTCCGATGCTGGAGGTCGCATGGAGCCATTGAGAGCCCCCAGGAGAGAAGTGGGTGGGGAGCTTCCCGCTCTTAGTGGGGTTTCCTTTTGGTTCCAGAAAGGTTCGGGCCACTGCAGCCAGGGAGGAAGGGCTGAAAGGAAAAGGAAACCTGAGAAGGTGTCGGGCAGCTTGAGCAGCTTGGCAGCTTAGAAAGGAGCTGCAGCCCATGGAAGGGCTACTTCTTCTTGTTGTTGCTTAGCGAAGTCGTGTCGGACCCATCGTGACCCCATGGACAACCTTCCTCCAGGCCCTCCTATCCTCTGCCATCCCCCAGAGTCCACCTAAGCTCACACCGACTGCTTCACTGACCCCATCCAGCCACCTCATCCTCTGCCGTCCCATTCTTCTTTTGCCAGCATCAGGGTCTTCTCCAGTGAGTCCTTCCTTCTCATTAGGTGGCCAAAGTATTTGAGCTTCATCTTCAGGATCTGGCCTTCTAAAGAGCAGTCGGGGTTGATCTCCTCTAGGACTGACTGGTTTGATCGCCTTGCAGTCCAAGGGACTTGCAGGATTCTCCTCCAGCACCACAATTCAAGGGCCTCAGTTCTTCGGCGCTCAGCCTTCCTTATGGTCCAGCTTTCACAGCCATACATTTCAACTGGGAAAACCATAGCCTTGACTATGGCACTTTTGTTGGCAGGGTGATGTCTCTGCTTTTTAGTATGCTGTCTAGGTTTGCCATAGCTTTCCTCCCCAGGAGCAAGTGTCTTTCAATTTCTTGGCTGCAGTCCCCAACTACAGTGCTCTTGGAGCCCAGGAAAATAAAATCTGTCACTACCTCCATTTCTTCCCGATCTATTTGCCAGGAAGTGAGAGGACCGGATGCCATGATCTTAGTTTTCTTCATGTTGAGTTTCAAGCCAACTTTTGCACTCTCCTCCTTCACCCGCATCAAGAGGCTCTTTAGTTCCTCTTCACTTTCTGCCATTAGAGTGGTATCATCTGCAAGGGCTACTTGAGCAAGATGCAAATACTGCAATGGGGTGGGAAGCTCTGAGGACTGTTCATGCTGCTTTTGTATGGACAGATGTTGGAGCCACAGGGGGCAGAGCAATGAAATGGGGGGGGGGGGGGGTTCCCCCGGGGGGGGGGGGAGGGGGGGGGGGGGGAAAGGGGGGGGGGGGGGGGGGCTTCACCCATGCGGAGCTGGATGAGTTGCAGGAGGAAAAGGAGTGAGCAACCAGAACTACAATAATGAAGATCCCGCAACCCCCACCTGTGGGAGCAACTGCCCACCCAGTCCCTACGTTCATCTCTTTCCAGCTAGGAAATCCTCTGGGTACCAGGGCAGGATCCTGCTGGCATTGGATGTGACTAGGGCCTTCCCCTGGTTCTGATCCAGAGCCTCACAGAAGATGGGGAACACTTATTTTTTTTTTATTATTTATTAAAACATTTGTATGCCGCCCCATTCGCCGAAGCCTCGGGGCGGCTTACAACAATAAGTTAAAAATAAATAACATGAAATTAAAAATATAAACATTAAAATTAAAAATACAAAAATAACTATAAAATAAGCCGCCCTGGCCAGATAAAATCCAATAATATTAACAATTAAAATGCCGCTTAAATAAAAAGGTCTTCGCCTGGCGCCGAAAAACAAATAACGACGGCGCCAGGCGGACCTCTCTGGGGAGCACATTCCATAACTTAGGTGCCACCGCAGAGAAAGCCCTCCTCCGAGTACCCATCCTCGATGCCACAAATGAGAAGGATCTCGAAATTGTTGTAGATCACAAGCTGACTCTGAGTCAACCATGTGATGTCGCTGCAAAAAGGGCAAATGCTCTTTTAGGCTCTATTAACAGAAGTGTCCCCTCCAAATCCCATGCAGTGCCAGCTCCCCTCCACTCTGCACAGGTGAGGCCTCACCTGGAGGACCGTGTTCAGTTCTGGGCACCACAGTTGAAGAAAGCTGCAGACAAGCTGGGAAGGGTTTGGAGGAGGGCGACACAATGATCTGGGGACTGCAGACAAAGCCCCGTGAGGAGAGACGGAAGGAGCTTGGCACAGGGGTCCTCAAACTATGTCCCGCGGGTCAGATCCGGCCCACCATGCCCATTTAACCGGCCCGCCACAGAGGTTTTGCACTTGCTGCACACGGGCATGCGTCTTGCTCACACGGAGATCATTTTGGACTCGCTCAGAGAAAACCATCTCCACGCGAACAAGCTGCTGCCTCACCTCATGCGCCCCCCTCCCCCCGCCGGCACTGCCATGGCAGCCCGTGCCCACTGGCACCTTTCAACTGGCCCCCTGTTGAAAAAGTTTGAGGATTCCTGGTGGCATGTTTAGCCTGGAGAAAAGAAGACTGAGGGGAAATAGGATAGGCCTTGAAAGGCTGTCACAAAGAGGAAGGGCAGGATCTCCTCTTGATCATCCCAGAGTGCAGGATGCAGAGTAATGGGCTCAAGTGGCAGGAAGCCAGATGCTGGCTAGATACTTCCCATTAGAGCAATATAGCCAGTGACCCAGGGAGGCAGTGGTCTCTCGCATCCTGGAGGCATCCAAGAGGCAGCTGGGCAGCCACCTGGGAGGGGGGGTTTCACTCGGAGTCCTGTCCTGAGCAGAGGGTTGGACCCGATGGCCCTCTGGCCCCTCCCAGCTCTGCTATTCTAGGCTTCTGTGATTTGCCCACCCTCGGAAGTGGGATCTCTTCTGTCTCCAGACAAGCCACAGGTGAGAGGAGAACAGCCACAACCTGTGGCATGACCGATGCGCATCTTCACGGAAGAGCTGGGGCTTTTTCTGTCTCAGCCTGCAGAGAACTGCACCCTCAGTTACAGGGCAGTAGTGGGCACATAGGTAAAAGCAGCCACTCTGGGGGTGCAAGAGCCAGGTCTGCGCCCCACCCCCTCCCGTTCAGAGGAAGGCTCTCGGCCAGGGCTGCCCTGGTGCAGAGAGCACGGCTCGAGACTGAAGAGGGGCAGTCCCTGCTTCCCTGAAGCTTTCCCCTTCATCCCAGAGTATTCTGCTGCTTCTGTGCTGATGGAGAGGCACTCTGCATGTGCTCAAAAAGCTATTTTTACTTGAGGCCACAGCATGCTCCACCCCCGGGGCCCAGCTTGACTGCAAAGGCAGGGTTGTCATCCATTGGATTAATATTGTCCAAAGGGTTTCTCCCACTGCCCCCACCCCCCGCAGTGCTGTGGGGGAGACAGCGGCTGCAGCACTCCTGCTCAGCGCTGGAACTTGCAGCAAAGCAGGGTGGAAATGGCTGCCCTTGAGTGGGCAGCCACGTGGCCTCCTTCGAGAGAAGTGGCGTCCTGCTTAAGTGAAAAGCACATGCTTTAGCACACCACCCTCTTTCCCCTCCCCCACTTTTCTTCTCCCGTGAATCACTGCAGATTCAGAAAGGAGAGAGACTCTGTGCACGCAGTCCTGATACTCAGTCCGAGGGCCACGCGCTTCCCGGCCTCTGCTGTCTCTGGTGCTCGACAAGTGGCTGAGGATGCAAGGAGCGCCCTGCTGGAGGAGAGCAAGCCCTGTCCTGCTCAGCCGACCCACCGCCCACAGGAGACCTGCCAGCACGACAGGAGTGCCTCTGCCCCTCCCACCCATGTTCCCCAGCAACTGGCATATATAAGCACACTGCCTCTGATACTGGAGCTGGCATCGAGCTAGTGGCTGTGGAGGGCCTCTTTATCCATGAATTTGTGCAGCCCCCCCTTTTACAGCTGTCCAAGTCGGTGGCCATCTCTACTCCTTGTGGCAATGAGTTCCACAGCTTAACCACAGGCTGTGTGAAGAAGAGCAACACCCTTAGAACAGGAAGCACTTTGCTGAACCTACCGTCTCATCCAGCATTCTGTTCACACAGTGCTCAACTGGCTGCCCTGAAGTAGAACATGTGTCCCAACAGCAGGTACATGCAGACGTGCGAACTCTCACCTGGCCTTCTCCTCCACAAATTGTCTAAATCCCCTTTAAAGCTGTCCAAGTTTGTGCTGAGCACAGAGGCCGCCTGTAGGAAGCGCGCCCTATATCCTTCAGGACCAGGCTGTCTGCTGCTCAGTGCTGCTCCTGATGCTGTGACTGCCTGTGTCGGAAGCGGAGAGCAGAGGGGAGTGTGACCCACCGGGATCAGGGGTCCTTGAAGGGCCCGTGCTTGCTCTCAGCCACAGGGAAAAGGCAGTCCCACCTCAGTCACATTGCGGATCTGCTTGAGAAGGGGAAGAAGGCGTGTGGGGCCCTTCCGAAAACGCCCAGGGCCCCCCATGTCCCAGGGCAAGAAGCTTGCCAGCCAGCTAAGGCCGAGCTGTGTCTATCCTGGGTTCTTTAGGAGCCCCTGTGAATTATTAGATAAAAGGAACCCCACAATGTCCGGCAAGAGTCAGCATTCACATTCTGATACAGCTACAGGGAATTCGCCAGCTTTACTGGAACCTGGCAGTTTGCACACAGCGTGATGGCGAGCCAGGGCTTGTTACCTTGTTCATTTTTCCTAAAATGCTCAAAGGGAAACCCCTCCTGGGCCCGGCCTGGGCTGCAGCAGTGTCCTGTGTCTTGTACGGAGCTGCAGCATGTGGAAAGGGCCTTGCCGGGAAGCTTCCTGGAGGGGTGAGCAAGGTTCTTGCACTGGGCATTGGTGGGCCCTGGGGCATGGCAGGAAGGATACAGCCAGGTGAAAATCGGTGCAGTGTTGGGCCACATCGGGCCGGTTTGCAGGGGAAGCTGTATGAGGCGAGACTGAGGGAACTGGGTCTCTTCAGCCTGGAGGAGACTCTGAGGGGACCTGTTGGCGACATACAGGTCTGTGAGGGGGTGTCACACGGAGGTGGGTAGAGACCTCCCTGCAGAGGAGGGCAGGACGTGCTCCAACAGAGCAAAGCTCAGGAAACCAGGGTTCCATTTAGATGCCAGGAAGTACTTCCTGATGGTTAGGACCCTGAGGGTATGAAATGGGCTTCCACGGGAGGTGCTTGAGGCCCCATTGGTGTGGATGTTCAAGGATAGGCTGGACATGCACATGGTGGGCATGTCATGAGCAGAGCCTTCTGGAACCAGGGGCCAAATTAGATGGCTTGGGAGGCCCCTTCTGACTTACTCCGTTTCTGTTTCTATGTTTTTGGTGGGATGTGAGCAGTACAGCTGAGTCCAGCACAGTACTGGCTGCTGGGGTGGACAGAGTCTTGAAAGGGACTGTGCTGGACTTTCCTTATGCAGGGGAAGGAGACCTTCCCAGGAAAAGACCCTTCATCCCCCTGCCCCACCCCCACAGTCCTTCCTGGGGTTCCTGGTTCCCTTCCAGCCCCTCCTCGACCAGCTCCCAGGACCAGAGTGGCATTTCTGGTGAGGGCCAAGCCGTGCCTCCCTCTGGCCATTCCTTCCTTAATATACGAGTAGCCCTTTGCCTTTCCTTTCCGCAAAGCTCCCCAGCAGCCCACACATGAAAGCCGCAAGATCGGACCAGGTCCGCCACAGTAAATGCGACACACACGGCCATCCTGCTGGTTGGGAGCCACACCCCCCCGAAGGGCCATCCTGCTGGCTGGGGCTGATGGGAGCAGAAGGCGAAGCCAGCTAGAGCTTGGAGAAAGCTGGCAGGGCTGTGCTGTAGTACTTCTTGCCTGCGTGGGCTTCCTGAGGGGATCCAGGGAAAAGCGTGTGCCTTGGTGAGCCAGCCTGTGGGAAGTGCCACCTGAGTGACTTGTGCAGGGCTGCACAGGCTGTGCTAGGTGGGGAGGGGGACCAGCAGCCCCTCTGCAGCAGTGGCAGAGGGTGTGGTGGCCAACTTCTCCAGGGGTGCAGCCTTGGGCCCATCCTGCCCTCAGTCGAAAGCCCGGTGGCGACACAGGCATGGCGCGCATCTTCGGCAGCACGGCAAGCACTCAGCACCAGCATTTCACTTCCAATTAAACATCAAGATTCATTTGCAAGATGAGTCAGGACTGCCCTTCAGAGCAAGGGAAATGGGAAGTTTTATAACAGAAAGAATCGTGTCTGGTTTATGGGGCGTGCATAAAATGTGGGCAGATCCAGTCTGCCTGGGAGGCAGAGATTGCAGGAAGTAATCATTCATGATCGGCACATCTCTACTTCTGAGGAGGCTGTTCCCAACCTGCCAAGCCTGTTCCTGAAACCAGGCCTCCCTCCTGGCCTCCCCTTGCCATTTAGCATCTCCTGATATGCCCAAGGCCCAAGGCCAGCATGCCTGGAGGGGTCGCACACCGCACGCACGAGGGCAGGCCATGCGTGACGCTCCCTCCCTCTGCATGGGGGGCACGCGGTTGCCCCTTCCCCTACCACGTCTTTGTCCTTTGGCTTGGACGGCCTGGGAGGAGACCTATCTGTTCTTCAGTTTCTGCCCACTTGCTGGGCCACGTGGAATGCCTGCTGGGAACAGTGGTACCCATGTATTGGGTACATAACAATGTGGGGTGGGATAGGATGGGAGGAAGAAGTGGTCCCAGCAAACAGGAGTGAGGAAACTCTTGCAGCCCAAGGGCTCAATTTGATTTAGAGAAGCCCTTGAGCGCTGCATTCCAGCAACAGAAGCCAGCCTATCTGAACGGAAGGAATGCTTTTCCTGCCTGCTTTCTGGAACAGGGCTGCGGGGGGGGGGGGGGGGGGGGGGCAGCACAACAGCCAGGAGACCAAAAGCCAGGGCCAGAGCCAGGGCCTCGACTGACCTTTCTGATATACAAGGTGGAATTAGAGACTGATCTCCTTTCTGTGTGGGCCTGTAACCAGGTGGGGACAGGGCAGCTGGGAGGCTGCCCCCTAACTTTACTTTGCCCCCTATCTTTTTTAATTAGCAGTTGACAGCTTTGTATTTGAAAGGTCTGCCTCCACCTTCGGCACCTCCCCAGCTCCTGAGCCTTGGTCCTCTGTGAGGTCAAAGGGGCTCGCTCTTGAAAACAGGGGTTGGGATTGCAGCTGGTCAAGCTGACCTTTCAAATTTGCCTTCTCCGAGCTGGCACCCTTCAGGGTGTTGAAGTGCCGCTCCCAGGATGCCCCAGCCAGCAGTGCAGTTCAGCACATCTGGAGGGTGTCCACTTGCGGAGGACTCAGCCTCGGGAGTCTCCAGCTGGGACAGGGGAAGCCCCCACCCTGAATCACTGGAGAGCGGCTGCTGGGCGGCCCATGCCAGCAATATAGAGCTACCCTCCCACCAGGCACCACATGAGACCGCTTGTTCTGTCCCTGGGGCAGGGCTCGGCACCGGGTGGCCTTCCAGTGGGACTGGTGGATGTTTGCAGATCCCTCCAGCCTCCCCCCCCCCGCCCCTGGCGGCGAGATCAAGCTGGTCTGCGGAGGCAGAGCGCCTGCCCTTTTCGATCGCCAACACGAACTCGCAGCGGCCGCCAAAGGGCACGGCGGCGGCACTCTGCGTATGCTCAGCGGTGCCCGTCGCCCCTCGCGCGCTCCAGCGGGCCCGACCGGTTCCCCGTCCGCCCAGCCGCAGCGACTGCTGACGCGGGCGGCGCGCGGAGAGGGCTGCGGAGGGTCTCGCCGCCTGCTGGGCACCATCGCCATCTTCTGTCCCGACCTGCCCGGATCGGGAGCCCCGCGCCGCGCCCAAGAACAGCGCGGCGGGCGCGGCGCAGCAGCCCCCGCAGCGCCGGGATGAGCCGCCTGCCCCGCCCCCGCCCGCCGGCGGCAGCGGCCCCGATCCTGGCTGAGCACGGAAGGCCTCCGTGGGGCGGGGGGACACCGAGCGGCGCCGCAAGCAGCATGCGCCTGCCCGCCCCGTCCCCGCCCAGCTCGGGCGGGCTGCGAGCGGCGCGAGGGAAAGCGGCGGCGGCGGCGGCGGGGCGCCCGGTCCACCCGCGCGGAGCTCCTTCCAGGTAAGCGCCCCACGCCGAGCCGCGGTGGCCCGCGGCCAGCCCGGGGCGCGCCCGTCCCGCCGAGCGCGGGTGGGGACCCGGTGCCCCGAGGCGGCGCGTCCCGTCCCGTCCCGTCCCGTCGTCCCGTCCCGTCCCCCCCCCCGGGGCGGCGCTCCGGGCGCCGCGATGCGTTCCGCCGCCGCCGGGCGATCGGCTGGGGGGGGGGGCCGGGGGGGGTTTTCCCCGGCCCCGGAAACCCCCCCCCCCCCCCGCCTCCCTCCCCGCGCCCGCACGCCCCCTGCAATTTGTGCGCTGGCTCGGCAGACTCGGGACGCGGGGGGCACCGCCGGCTGCCCCTTCCTTCTGCCTTCCAGACCATCCGCTGCCAGCCTGGATTCGCTTTCCCCGCCGGCCCCGACGCCCCCCGCCAAAGGTCCCGGCCCCTCGCCCGCAGCTCGCCGTGGGAGCTCGAATGTAATGCAATGAGGATGGCGCTTTTTAATGGGGGCGGGGCACTCGGTTGTTGTAAGGAGAACAGTTCGGGGTGATTACTGCTGCTTCTCCGGATTCTGTAATTAATTCTGCATTTCATTACAAATAGCAGCAAGAGCAATCTTGCTTCTGGCTGAGGTCAGCTCTTGGGCGAGGGTATGAAATACAATTAGCGAATTCCTGAATTCGCCTGTCTCCCTGCTGCTCGCCCTCCCCGCCCGCGGGTTCCTTGGCCGGGCTGCCTTGGGAAAGAAAGGGGGGCGTGAACCGAGGTGCATCTGAGGAGCAGAGGGTGGCGGTGGCAGAGAGCCGCCTCCGACCGGGGCTGACTGGGGCTGCTGGAAGCTGTAGTGCACCCGCCTGGAGGGCTCTGCGCCGGGGGCGCTTTTCTGCTCTGGCGCCCGCCTGCCTTCCCTTCTGCAGCCTGCCCTGAGCTGGTGCCTTTTGCGAAGGGGATCGTGGCCGGCCGGGCGTCATGCAGGGTCTGGAGAGCCTGTGCAGAGAGTCCCGGGCGCAGCTGTGGACTTTGGCGGTGGCTGGCGGAGGCGGCTCACCGGCCACTCCTGTGGCGTGCAGAAGGGCGGGCGCCCGTGGCGTGCAGGGAGCCCCCGTGCCCAGTGCTCGGGAGCACGCGGCCGTCGTGGCCCTGGGGGCAGCCGCGTGCCACCTTCCCTCCGCCAGGCACTCCCCTGGGCCGGGCCAGGGAGGGTCCACTGGGCCGGCACTCTGGCTGTGTCTCCCAGCGGCCGGGCAGAACAGGTGCCTCTGGGGTGGCCAGACTGTGATGGCCACTTGCCGCCCTCTCCCGATGCTCCTCGGGAGCTGCCGGGGCTCAGAGGTAGACTGCACTGATCGAGGAGGTTCGCTTGAGCTGTGCTGGCAAGGAGCCGCTGGCCAACGAGTCCTTCATGAAGGCCTGGAAGAGGCCCTTGGGGCTGCGCTTTCCCCACTCTGCCCCCCTGTGCAGGGTGAGCACCTCTCCCGGGAAGGTGAAGATGGGCATCCCCAGAGCTGCAGCTCAGGCAGCTCTTGTCTTTTCCAAACAGACCAGCTCATCTGTCAACTAAGAATCTGCTAAAGCCGGAGCCTGTTCCTGCTGAGGCAGAAAACAAAGCCCAGCTCTCTGCCCACGACGGCCGTGCTTTTTCCTGCCGGAAGAGGACCAGCAGCGCGCCCTTGGCCAGCCTCCCCCAGCCTGATGCCTCCCGATGTGTGGCACTAGCTGGCTGTGGATGCTGGGAGTGGTAGTTCATCACAGAGGGTGGGCTAAGTGTGTTTAAGCTAGGCAAGGGGAGCATCGTGGGGCTGGCCCTTGGGCAGTTGCCACAACCCCTCGGGGGCCCACCCTCACCCCCCCGACGTGAGCCAGAGGCACCAGCCGGCAGCCCCAGCACTGGGGCCACCCTTGCTATGGCAGAAGCCTTTCCTCCCCCCAGCAGCCCGTGTGCCCAGAGCCACACGCCGGCCACACGGACGCGCCTTCAGCCGGCTCAGCTGGGCCTGCTCTCTGTCTGCAAGTGATGCTCGCCGCCTCCAGTGGGGGAGGGGTGAACAGGGCTGCGCTGACAAAGGGAGAAGGATGCCCCCCCTGTGCAGGGCACCCCCCACCTCCGAGGGGGCCGGCCTTCTGGGTGCAGCCAAATGGAACTGTGCCCACCCCACAAGAAACCTCCCCCAGCCCTTCCTCCGCTCCGTGCAGATAGAAACCCCCAGTGCTTATTAAAATGGTGAACCAGGCCACCACATCGCGAGCAAGACGGTGCTGAAATGAGCAGCAGGCGGATAAGCAGCATGACGCGCCAGGGATGCCCTCGCTTGGCGGCATGCGCGAGGCCCGAGGGAGGGAGGCATCTCGCCACCAGAGCGCTCTGCTCCTCGTGGCTCGTGGCAGGGCTGCGACGCAGTGACGGGGCCGTGTGTGGCGTGCCGGAGGCGGGTGCAGCCCCTCCCTTCTCTAGGGAGGGCCGGGAGGAGGGGGGACGCCTTGGCAGCGGGCTGCTCCCACTCCCGCAGGGCACTGCCTGTGCACACTTGCCGAGGAAGCAGCAGAAAGTTCCCTGGGGAAGGTGGTGCCACCCTTGGAAAGACCCTGCCACCGTCGGTTTTCTTTATTAAGATGTTTATATACTGCTCCTTTCCCATAGGTGGTTTCCGAGGGTTTCCTGTAAGTTGCAAGGCACGGATAGGTGAGGCTGAGATCAGCTGAGGCCAGGCTCTTCTGGAGCACATTTCAGGTCTTTGGAAAGTCTCCCAGGCAGATTGCTTCAGCTTGCAGTGCTCTTCTGACCGGCTGCACCCTCGCTCTCCTTCTGTGGTGGGGGTGGGGGTGCCTGAGTGTCCTGCTCAGCCTTGAGGGCTGATTGCGGAACTGCTGGGTCCACAGTTCTCAGGAAGCGGCAATGATGGGGCTCTCTTCCCACTGGGGCACCCGTGAGAGCTCGGGGCCACAACTTGCAGCCCAACCGCAACGGGCAAACCGGCCCCCTGAGGCCTGGCTGGGAAAGCTGGACTAGAAGTGTGCGCAGGTACGTCTTTTCTAGAGTGCAGTGACAAAGCTCTGTGGGCAGTTCACACCAATTGAAAAGATAAAATCGAACATGACCAGGACTAGACAACATGACAACCCAGCTGACATAAGCCAGGATGAAAAAGCCACGGTTTGCAACCTGTGGGTTCTCTTCATGGGGTGCCTGTGATCTGTTATCTTGGTTGGGGTTAAGCAGCACAATAATCCACATTTCACAACAACCTGTGGCTTAGTGACAACCCATGCTCAACCATGGCTTGTACGTAACTGTGTTGCTTGAACCCAAATATAAGTTTAAAACAAGAGCGAGAAACCAGAATGAAGCACAGAAACCAAAATACAACTGAGCAGCAGTGCAAAGCTTTAAACTTTAGTGGAAGATTTAAAAACAACAGAAACTGAAAGAGGGAAATGCCTAAGATGGTGCTGGAAAGCCTACATCACGGGTCCCCAGCATGCCTTTGCCCAGAGCTTGTTCCACAAGCAGGGGGCCACAGCAGAGAAGCTCCTGTTCTCAGTGGCCACTGCAGGCTTTGGCAAAATGTCCTCTGTGCAGTGGGCACGGGCCCACTTGTTCCACCTGCACAGGAGCACCCAGGAGCACTACCTGAAGCATGCCCCATTCTGCAACAGCGCCCTTTACCGACTTCCTCCACCTGATCACATGTTTCTTCCTTGCTTTATTGGTGTACGTAGAAGTTTCTGTGCTAACTTTCCTCTTGAAATGAAAGGCTCCAGCCTGCTAATGCAATAGGGGAGTGAAAACCAGTGCAAATAACAATACGGTTTCAGTCTCAAGGCATGATAGAAATCAGAAGGTCAGGAACTCACAGAAAGGCAGAGGTGAACAAGGGGCGGAGAAACCTCCTGGAGCGAAAACATTGTTGGGTGAGGACAACCTGGGGCTGGTTGTGACGGGTGAGCGGGACTCCGAAGCAGAGGAGGTGCGTCCCTCCATCCCTCCCAGTCGTTTTTCCATTGCTGGCAGGACATGCCCAAGACCGGGGAGCAGTCAGAGGGGCTCCGGGGGGCCTCCTGGGCCGAGCTGCTGCAGGCAGGCCTCCCCAACCAGGCGTCCTCCAGATGTGCCAAGAGGCCACGCCCAGAGCCAGCTGCGGGCGCTGCTGCCTGGCCTGCCTGCCTGCCTGCCTGGAGGACGCCCACTCAGTGGAGGCAGGCTGCGGGCTTGTACTTCACCTGGAAACCGAGCCAGAGCTTCTGAGCTGGTCCGGATGCAGACCACATGCTCCACGCGCGCCGTCAAGAGTCTTGCTGCTGGATTCGGGGCTGTGAGAGCTTCCAGGCGCTTTGACAGCTGCCCCTCGTTTCTGGTGCCAGGCTGCGGATGCTGCCAAAGCGGTTAGGAAGCCGTCGGGTTGGCGGCTTCCCACTCCCACAGGCCCAGCTTGCCAAAGTCCCCCGGCTTATCCTGCAGAGCCACGGCCAAAGGGAGCCCTTGCCTCGGGGCACCTCTTGGCAGAGCCGCCTGTCTTCATGAGCCGACAGTGTGTCGAGTCTGGGTCTTCCGTGCAGCACCAGCTGTTCAAATCCCAGGCCAAGCGGCTGGAATGCAAGGGCGGAAGAGCGTCTGTGGGTTTTGCCGCTTGCGTGGAAGAATCTCGGCAAATGAAAGGGCCTTTCCCTGGGTCAGGCCTGGCTGGGCCATGCAGAGCGGGGTCTTCTCAGCAGTGGCGCTGGCCCATTGCAGCACTCCCACTCCTGGCAGGCTGCTGGCTTTGTGCCAAAGAGTGCTTCTGTTTTTGAACTACAATATTTTGGATGACTTAATTTTGAATTTTGAATCTGTCTTGAAACTGGTTAGCCACCTTAGGGGTTTTCTTTCAAACAGGAAGGAGAGGTATGAACTTTGGCATTCAGATGTGGACCAAGAACGCCCCTGGAGGGTCCGAGGCAGTGAGTGGTGCAGACAAGCGATGGCCCACGCTTGGGGTCGAGCGAGTGTTAGTTAAACCATTGGTCGTTCTTGAAATGTGGGTTATCG